TTTTTTTTTTTTTTTTTTTTTTCTGCCTCTGAATCTATATTCCTGCCCTGACTTCTTGTTTGTATTCTCTCCTGTTATTTTCAACAGCATATAGCAGTTTTCTTAACTTGGACACTACCGAAATTTTGAACCAGATAATTCTTTATTGTTGGCAGTTCTCCTGTGAACTGTAGGATGTTTAATGGCTAGATAATAGTAGTAACCTACTTCCCCCAGTTGTGACAATGAAATATCTCCAAACATTGTCAAATATACTCTGAGGACCAAAATCACCCCAGGTTCTGAAACAATGGCTATAGTAATGTTTGTGGATTATCCCACTTTTGCTTTAAACTCATTGTGTCCAAAATTGGACTCAGTGTCCAAATGCCATTATCCCAAACTGTCTCTTTGTTACCAAACTGTGACAGTGGTGTTACCATCCCTAAAGCCATTCAGACTTTGAAGTCCTCTGATTATTTTTAATATACTTAAATTTGATCAGATCTTCCCATTTCTTCATTGGATCACTCCCTCCCCTTCATGCCACCTTTGGCATCCAACTTTTATTACTTCATACTGTTCTTAGGTAACAGCCTTTCAATGGCTGTGTCTGCCTTTCAACATCTGGGTCTGACTCTAATATATAACTTCTGAGTCATCCTGTATACTTCTGTCAGAATCATCCACCTCACACATTGCTTCATACCTGGTGAGCCCAGCTTTCAAGACATCTTTAATCTGACACCACTGTACCTACCCATTGTTATTTTCCATTTCTCCCCCATGTGTATATACGCCTGGCTCTTCTCTCCAGACAAGCCAATCTTCTCACCACTCTTCATGTATGCATTCTTTATCTCGCCTCTCTGTATTTTCTGTTTCCTTCTCTTGGAATGCCCCCCTCCCCTTTTTTAAACTGGTCACAGCCATCTTCTAGTGTGTAACTCTTCAATTAAGTCTTCCCCAGCTATTTCATTTTACATAGGCCTTTCTAGTCTCTAAGGTCCTGTTGTGATCACCGTCAGTACCATGCAGTTTAGTATTTAAATGTACTCTGAACTGTTTCACGTGCATGTCTTCCCAGGTAGTTTGTAAGCTCATTGAGGGCAGGGTCGCCTTATTCTTACGTTGTCCTCACAATAGTTAATAAAATGTTAATTATATAATAGGCTGTCAATAAATACTTGATATTGCTAGTAGTAGTCACAAATTACAAAATGATAATAGCATCATCATCTTTGATAATAGCAGCTTACATTTATTGAATGATTTATTTTTACCAGGAAGTGTTAAGCACTGACCACGTATCATCTCATTTAATCCTCACAGCATGTTTCTATATGAAATAGGTTCTGTTACTATCCCAATTTGATAGATGAGAAAATGGGGGCTTAGAGAGGTTAAATAACTTGTCTAAGTTGTGCAGCCAATCAATGAGTGGTAAGGAAGGAATTCCAATCAAAATCTGTCTTATCAGAATCCACATAAATAATGGTGGAGCCAGCTTTCCTCCTTTAACAGATTTTTGTACTTAATTATCTGAAATGTAGCCATGAGAAGCAAAAATAATGTAACAACATTGGAATTGATTGCACTGTTGAAATGAAGCTGACATATTGAAAAATGATCACAGTTGGTGCTCCTCTCATTACATTCTCTTCTTTCGTCATCTTTCAGAATCTGGCTCTAGCTCCAGTATTCCTGTTATCACATTGGTGTGGGTCCGGAATGTGGTATGCTAATATCTTTGTTGTTTTCCCCCCTCATAGTTACTGACTATACTACTGGCAGAGTTGGAGCCCCTCTCATTTGCTGTGAAATTAAGCTAAAAGACTGGCAGGAAGGTAAGAATTTTATGGCAAGTGCTAGCGATTCTAGTTATGTTGCAAACCACTGTGAGCCTCATGACTTCTGTTTCTTTTAAAGTGTTAGGTTCTCTGTTGTTACTTGTTCCCTGTGCTTTCTTTTTCCTCTAACATCTGTAGGTTGCCAAGAGGAAAAGAAACTCTCTTAAATCTAGGCATGATGATTCTAAATTTGGGAATACTTGATGGTAAATGGGAAAAATTTTTAGTGGGGTAGCCCTGGGTTAGGGGAAGGATGTGTATCATTTTCAGGGGATTGAGTGATTAATCTCTTTCTCTCTCTCTCTTTTGCGTGCGCGCACGCACACACACACAACTTCTTAGATCCTGACCCAAACAAACATTTTCATAGGTGAGACTCAGTGGTCCAGCTCTTTGTATAATTGAATTTTTATATGTAATTGCAAAGGCAAGCCACTTAAAGGAAACCTGCCCTTATAGACATTGGTGATAATCCTTTTCACAGATCCATTGAAGACAAAAGGAAAGCGCTTTATATCTTCCTATGATGAAATTGTGAAAAAATGTTAAACATATACATCAACTGCAAAATTAACAAATAATTAACAACCTAGTATTGCCAGATAAAGAAAGAATAATTAAAAAGCTTAAGGTTTTAAAAGATAATATACAGCTTGGGATGGAGCCACAAACTGAGAATTTAAAGGATCAGGACATCCCTTAGGTTGGTCAAACCCAAGAAAATGAATAGGCTTTATCTGACATAAACTTGAAGTTTCTAACAGTGTTATTATGTGAATTATCTTTGGTGCTTTATGGGCAAATAACCATTTTTAAAAATACCATATTGAAGAGCTAATTTCATTATCAAGTGTTTTACTTCGTGGGAATAAGTTCTTTCTCCCATGATAAGGCCCATCCAGTTTTTGAATGAAAAGCTGAAGAAAATAAAGATAATTTAGGGGTGGGCAAAAGTAGGTTTACGGTTGTAATACAAATAATACAAGAATAAACTCTGTGTTTTGCATACTTACAACTGTAAACCTATTGTATGTATCCTTGTATATTGGGCACCAGCTTCAAAATTGTTTTATGCCATGAGTTATTTATTAGGCAGTGTAATCAGAGAAACAAGGTATATAGTAAAATTTGATAAGAAGAATTTTGCCTTTAATTTTTATTTTCTGATTTCCCAGTATTGTGCTTCAATGTGAGTTTTGGGAAGTGGGTCCATTTTTGGATATGTATTTATCTGGAGTTTTTCTTGCTATGAAGGAAACTTTGCTTTAAGTAATAGGCATGATCTTAATGTTTTACACATAGTGGGTTTCATCTTCTTGAGATATTGAATGGTTTTCAATTTAAAGAGCATCTAAAAGCTGAAGGGAATACTGCTTTTAATCCTTTTATAACAACATCTAATTAGCGTATCAGTTTATAAATTCAGATTTTTGTATATTTTCCTTAGAGTAAGCTTTATTCAGTAATAAACAGGTAATAGTGATTAAATATTTTAATATTATCAGTTCAGTGTTTTAAATTTTAATTAAAACAATATATCTTTATTGATTTCAGAGAAAGGAAGGGAGAGGGAGAGAGAGAGAGAAACATCAATGATGAGAGTCATAGATCGACTGCCTCCTGCACGCCCCCGAATGGGGATCAAGCCCACAGTCCGGGCATGTGCCCTGACCTGAAATTGAATCACCATCTCCTGTATCATAGGTTGATGCTCGACCACTGAGCCATGCCCAGCCGGGCTAGATTTTAATTTTTAAAGTTATGACTGGCCATAGGCAAAATGAAGAAAATAAAATTTCTCTCCTGTTTCCCATGGCTTCCCTTTCTCACTTAGTGGTATTTCCTTTATAGGCACTTACTACCTGCTCCCTTTGATTAAAACTTCCTTAGAAACTATCTGAAATGCATTGTTATCAGCATATTAGTAATTTACTTATAACAACTTCCAGTGTTGCCCATCTTGGGAACAATATTATCTTAATAGATCTCAGTGTATCCTAAGCTTTAATGATATACTAAGTGTGAAATTTTATGGTCATGGGAAGGTTTGGGTAGGTGGTAATTGATGGTTGTCACTGAACCAGGTACTCCTGAAATCACAGTCATCCGCTATCATCACATAAGTCTGAGTAAATACAAACTGATATTCCCCCCTAAAGTGATGCACAGTTTGATCAGCAGGAAAATTTTTCCAAAGGAGCTTTCAGAAGTAATGAAAATAAGTTTTGTTTTAGAACAAGAACTAATTTGCTTTCATGACTTCCAGGCGGTTATACAATTCATGACAAACCAAACCCCAGAGGTGAAATCGTTATTGGTGGACAGAATATCTCCATGGGATATTTTAAAAATGAAGAGAAAACGGCAGAGGATTATTCTGTGGATGAAAATGGCCAAAGGTGGTTTTGTACTGGTGATATTGGAGAATTCCATCCTGATGGGTGTTTACAGATTATTGGTCAGTTTATTTCCTTTTTTTGTGGTTTTCTTTAGTTGTTGCACCTTCAGTGTATATGAAAGGTAATACTGATTGAGTCATTAATGGGGTTGATGGTTCCAATGGCTTAAACTTTGGGCAAGTTATTTAACTTATATCTGTGCTTTTCCATCTGTAAAATAGGTACAAGAATACTGACCTGGTATGGCTTTTGTTAGGATTAAATGAGTTGATATATGTCAAATGTTCAGAACAGGGAAGTCAGTGCCTCCATTTAAGTAAGTGGCAGTGGCCGCAGCAGCATTAGAGAGAGGGAGGATGGGAAGGAAAATAGCAGATGGGTAATAAGAAAACAAAAATGGCTCAGAAGAGGTATATATATATATATATATATTTTTGTCAACTGCATGAGGTTTTGTATAACCATCTACTCTAACACCCTATTCTATTTGTTCCTCCCCAATTATCCCTCCCCCCAAGAGGCAGTGTGGCATAATTTCCCTAGGGGCCATTTATATGGCTCTAACTAGCCCTCAACCTTAGGAAATTATAATATCAAATCCTCAACATTAATCTGTTCTTTTAAGAAAGTCAATTCGTTTGGCACTGTCCTTTTTGAACCTATTGAAATAGAGTTGTAAGTTCAAAAAGCTACCCAAAATGGCCCTTATGCTGTTTACTTTAATCAGGCAAAAGTTAAAATAAAAATTTGACTAGCTCATAAGGACCACTCGGTAGGGTCTTTGTCTGGTCCTTTTACAGCCATAAAATTTCCTCAGTCATATTTCTAGTGATCCATTTAAATCTGTCTTTCGACCCATATGTGACCTGAATATAGTTAAAGATTTCCATGGAAATTTGACTTTTTATCTAGAAGTTTGTTCTGCTGGGGAAATTTCTATGAAACATGGCTCATTCTATAAGCAATACCCCCCTTTTTGATCCTTTATTGCACTGGAATCAAAGGTTGTTTCTTTTGGCGTGTACAGTGGGTTCCCAGGCTATGGGTAGGCAAGTCAACACTCACATGAAGGCCATAAGGCAACCTGATGATTATTCATGCTGTGCCATCGTGTGCCAGCACACTCTTAGAGCACTGTCATTTTAACAAGATAATGTCACATATGGACAATGGGGAACTAACATTTGTTGACCATGTTCTCTATGCCGGATATTGTACCGCATGCCTGTATAAGGTAGGCATCATTATCCCTGATAAAATTGAGGGTTGGAAAGGTCCACTGACATACCCAGGATCACATAGCTAGTAACGGGCAGAGTTACCATTCAAGTTTAATGCTCCAAAGTTCTGTTCCTTCTATTAACTTTGTTACAGTGTTTAAGAGTATGAAATATTAAAGCTTTCAGTATAGTGTGCAACATTTTAGCTTATACTTCTTTATTTTAACTAGGCATTTTCTTAACTGACATGTATAGGTAAGCATTATGCATAGCAAGATTTTAGAGAAGAATCTTTGCACATAAATATTAAGGCAATGAGATTAAAAGAAAATCATAATTGTATAGACCTTAATAAAATGGACTATGGATAACTTAACATTCTTCATGACTCACAGATCGTAAGAAAGATCTGGTAAAGTTACAAGCAGGAGAGTATGTATCTCTTGGGAAAGTGGAAGCTGCATTGAAGAACTGTCCACTTATTGACAACATCTGTGCTTTTGCCAAAAGGTAATTTTTAAAGTTATGCTTGTGTTTCATATACTTACAGTAAAAGGATAATTGGAAAAATTTTGATTATGTATAATCATAAGGGAAACATGAAACTTTCATCACAGTTGGGGAATGTTATACATTTCTGAACATTCTTGAATTCAACAGCTTGAAAATTATTTGAAATAATTCAGATAATTTGACTATTAGACCCCTACTGTGTCTTGCTAAATACTTAGCTATGCCACAAAACTCATTTCATTTAACTTTAATAACAACTGAGACTTAGCATAAGTGGTTTTTCCAAGAAGATAACACAGCTATTACAAGTTTTCCAAATAAAAAACCTGAGATATTGAACCATTTTCTTTATATTTTAATATGTGTTATTTTTATGGGCTTTATTACTTCCTTTAAAAATTAATTCTAAAAAACACAAGACAAAATTTAGCATCTTAACCAATGCTAAGTGTACAGTTCACTAATGTTAAGTATATTCACCCTGTTGTGCAACTAATCTGCAGAATTTTTCATCTTGGAAATCTCAAACTCTATATCCATTAAACAATCCCCATCCCTATCCCCTACGCCCTGCCCCTGGCCACCACCATTCTACTTTCTGTTTCTGTGAATTTGACTATTCTAGATACTACATATAGATAGAATCATACAGCCCAGTCAGGCGTGGCTCAGCGGTTGAGCATCAACCTAGGATCCAGGAGATCACGGTTTGATTTCCGGTCAGGGCACATGCCTGGGTTGCGGGCTCGATCCCCAGTAGGGGGCGTGCAGGAGGTGGCTGACCAATGACTCTCTTATCATTGATGTTTCTATTTCTCTTTCTCCTTCTTTCTTCCTCTCTCTGCAATCAATAAAGGTATATTTTTAAAAATTTAAAAATTTTAAAAAATCATACAGTATTTGTCTTTTTGTGACTGACCTATTTCACTTAGCATAATGTCTTCAAAGATTAATCTATATTGTAGCATGTGTCAGAATTTTCTTTGCTTTTAAGGCTAAATTATATTGCATTGTATGTATAGAGACCACATTTTGTTTAACCATCTATCCATCCATCAATGGACAGCTTGGGTTGCTTCTACCTCTTAACTATTGTTAATATACTGCTATGAACATGGATATGCAAATATCTCTTCAAGACCCTGCTTTCAATGCTTTCAGATATATACCCAGATGTGGAATTACCAAATCATATGGTAGTTCTACTTCTATTTTTTGAGGCACCCCTACACTGTTTTCCTTTCCATGTGGATATCTAGTTCTCTCAACACCATTTGTTGAAGAGACTGTCATTTTCCCATTGAGAGGTCGTGGGACCCTTGTTGAAGATCATTTGACCATATATACAAGGATTTATCTCTGGGCTCTCTGTTTCATTGGTTTAGATTATCTGTCTTTATGCTAGTACTATGGGCTTTATTACTTCTTAATGACACTGTAACAAAAAGAAATATGCATTTGAAATTATTTTGTAATGTACTATTTCATTGAAAACTTTACAAATACTTGTTCTAGTATTTTAATTTCTATTTTGTTTTATATTTTTTTAGTGATCAGTCCTATGTGATTAGTTTTGTGGTTCCTAATCAGAAAAGGTTGACACTTTTGGCACAACAGAAAGGAGTGGAGGGAACTTGGGTTGATATCTGCAATAACCCTGCCATGGAAGCTGAAATACTGAAAGAAATTAGAGAAGCTGCAAATGCCAGTAAGTAAGAAATTGCTTGACTTTAAGTCCCTTAAAGTCATTTAATGGTGTCTTATGCACTAGGTTCTTCAAGATGCTTATTTATTTGTTTTGTTTTAATAATAAAATATATGTTTTTTTTTAAACCTGCTACTTAAATATGTATAATGAATTTCTATGTTGGAAGGATTCTTAAATGTTATATAGTAGAATAATCTATTTATTGCATGTTGCAGCATCCCTGCTAAATGGTCATCTAGCCTGTGTTTGGAATGGTCCATCTTTGTTCATAACGATAGTTCATAATGATGTGACCTTGCACGTGTCTTTTATTGTTTATCATTGTGTATACTTACTTGGTGTGGGCCCTTTCAGTCTAGAGGTCTCTGCCCTGCAGTGCTGGGAAATATCCATGTATCATCTTTTGTTTGCTTGCTCTTCTTTCAGTATTCCCCTTCAAATTCTGTGTTTGTGTTTTTACCTGAGATTATTTTTATGTGGAGGTTGAACCCCCTGCTTTAATCCTCTAATTTTCTTCATTTTTCTCTTGTTTTCTATGTAATCTTTTGGGTTTATATTCTGGCAGCATCCTTAACTTTATCATCTTCTATCTTTTGAATTTCCAATATCAGAATTTTATTCCCCAGAGCTCTTTCCTGCTTTCTCAGTGTTCTTTCAGTACCACCCTGTTCTTTCATGTCTGCAGTCCATGTTTTTGTCTCTCATTCTTCTGAGGATGTTGAAGGGATTCCTTTTATGAAGTTTTCTTCTGTTATTGGCTATTTCCTCCAAGTTCCACTGGCTGCTTGCTTTGGTCGTGACCCTTCGTGTATCTGCTGATCCTTGTCCATTGACATTTGAGAATGAGATATTGAAAACCTGTTTGTAAATTTTACTGGGCTTCACTGAAAAGTTATTCAAATGTTAGTGTCTTGGGTCATTCCATTCTCAAAAGATTACTCTTCAGTCTCTTTTCTCGAGGTTATTAGCCTGACTGCCAATACTCTGGTAGCCAAATAGAGGAAATTGGAAAAGGGCTGATAGTGGGGTGAGTGAGTCTTAACATTGAATCCTTCTGTTTCCAGCTTTCTTCTCTCCTTCTGTTGTATCTATGTCCTTGAGCTCAGAATCTCTAGTTCAGGTTTTCCAAAAAGTAAACCTGTCTCTAGCCTGGTTGGGCAAGAGCAGGATGAAGGATAACTGTCCTCTGAACAGTGTACTGCTCATCTCTGTCCTCAGAGACACAAACTCAGGAGGCTGGTTTGCTTCTTGTGGACTTCTTGTTGGCAGTTAGTTAGTTTTTGGCTCTCTTGGCTCCCAAACAGTGATTGCTAATCCGTTGCTTTTGGTCCTCTAAAATTTCATTGAACTCTCTCACCCAGTGTCCTCTTTCTTTCATTTCAGTTTATTTTTCCTTGTGGTTAATGCCTTTTTAATTTTTAAAATTATTTTAAGCTGTTTAAATGATTTTACAGGGGGAGCAGAGATGAACTGTGTCACCTTCATTTTTAATTGGAGGCCGTTAACCTAGTTTTAACCTTTTGTTTTTCCTCCTAAAAAAATAAAAGTATCACTTTCCTGATTGTAGATTATCTATATTCATTATAAATATTGGACAATATAGAAAATTATATAAGGAGGAAGTAAAAATAACTTGATAGTAGTTGTCTTTGGGTGCTGACATTGCATTCTGGTATATATTCACCTATCAGCCTCACCAATATTTTCCTAAGTCAGTAGATACATTATAATTTTTAATAACTAAATTGTATTCCAGTATAAATGTATTAATTTAAGTTCCTGTTGTTGGACTTTCCAGATGAGTTCCACTGTTTCCCTCTGACTGTAAACAAATATAACACTTATCTTATATACTCAGTTATTTTCTTACATAATTATTTTCTTAGTATGAATCTCTAAAAATAGAATTTCTGAGTCAAAGAAAATGTATATTTTAAAAGCTTTTTCTATGGTACCAAATAGCTCCTCTTTCCCCAGAAAAACTGGACTAGTTTATACTCTTGTCATGGATGCACGAGGACACCTATTTTTCTAACCAGGCTACTATTATTAATTTTTTAAATCAACTACTTAGGTTCCATTTTGGTTTCAAAATATAGATAGTAATATTAGTTAGAAAGCTGATGTTGGAAAACTATATTTCCTCAAAAAGAACATTCTTATAGTCAACTCTGGATACTGTAAAGTTATTTAAATAACATTTGCCTATTATAACCATAGAGACAGTGACTTAATTTTTTTCTTAATGATGGTTTTGTTAATTATGGTATTATTGATATAGCACACTTTTACTATCACCAGGCTACCAGAATTTTTATTGGTACAAATCCTGATTTTTTTCCTTTAAATGTAATATTTCAAAAACTTTCTCACCCAATAGGCTGTTATTCGTTGTCACTCTCTGAATGTACTCATTGAGTAGAATGTGACTTGAATAATTTGTCATTGCATATGTAACAGAGAAAAGCAATAATGGGGAAGGCAAGCTGTATCACAATCAGGTGGAAAAATCCAATAAAATTCTAAGACTCACTGGGCCCCCATAACTTTTCTGTGCTGGAACAAGGAATGAAATTCAACAAGTCATGATTTGGATAATGAACTAAACATGAGCTAAATGTATAAATCATAAGCTTTTCTGTGCCATAAAGATTTCTCTTGCCAGCTGTTTCCTTGAAATTATAATTTCAAGACTTATGCCAAAAAAGTATAAAATAGTCTTGATTGTATTCAGCTTATCTGTCTGAAATTACACATACTTCATAGCAGTCCTTTTCATGTTTTAAATATAAGTGTGAGGTATATGTCGTATCATAAGAAAGCAAATTACGGAATTGTTTCCAGGTGATTTGACAACTACCAAAAATTGTCCTTTGCTCTCACCTGCTGGTCACATTTTATAGAGTCCTAGGTAATTCAGATAAAAATGCCACCTTTAAGATCATTTTTGTTTTTTCTTTCCATTAATCTTGCCTACTTGTTGGCAGTTTATTCTGCTTATAGGAAACTGTGACTGCTCTTTACTCTTTGCCCTCTATAGCCTGTGGTACTAGATGATGTTTAGGAGTTCCCAAAACAAATCCTGTAATGTAGCCTTTTTTTTTGCTTTGAACAGGAATTTAGTTAATAAAGATTAACTATAGGAACTTTTATAAATGTGCTGAATTTGCTTGTGTGCAACTGAAATAATGTGCCTGCCTTGTCTCAATTTTGTCAGTGTTTCTGGAATAGAACCTACTTTTTGGAGCCAAATCTGTTGTTTCCTTGAGATCCAAATGTGACTTTGGGAGCAGATGAGCTTATTTCAGGCACCCCAGAGTAACTGGGCTGTAATATATCAACATGATTAATTTGAGCAACTTTTTGTTCCTTTACTACCTGTTCAGGCATTACTTTTGGGAAGTTGGTTCTAAGTAATTTGAAAGAGATTATTTTACACACTCAGCTTTATATTTTTCTCTCATTTTAATGAGAAACTCACTAATTCAACCAAGCGTTCATAAAACTCAGACTAGCAATAGGACAAAAACTTCCATACTTTGAGTTCTTTGTACGTGTCACTGAAACCAAGTTTTCTAAAGTCACCTAGGCTGTTAGCAGTAGTTTTTAACATACAGATGTTTGCTGCTTCAAAACTGCTGTTTTAAATAATAGCATATAAAATGAAGCTCATGTGTAGATTCACATTACTGTTAATAGGCCTTCAGAATTTTAAGGATGAGCTTGTATTAATAACAAGTAACTTGATGAAATGTAATTTATTGAATTTAAAATTATTGAATACTGTATTGATTGCTTCTATGGCCTTATTTTCTTACATTTCTTTCAACATGTTGAGGTGTCTATCTCAAATAATGTATATGCTGCATCTTATACCACTTAAAAGTATGAAATTCACAATCCCCTTTTTGATTCTGATTTGAATGTGTAATAAAACTTATGAAGAACAGCTATCTAGGGGCTTACTTTTCTGTAGGATGAATTAATAAATATGTATGTATTTATTGAGGGCTGTCAGTGTAGCCCTATGGATGACAGTGAGCAAAACAAAGACCCTGCTTTCATGGAGCTTACATTCTAATAGGTGACACAAATATATAATGTCTTGAGTGGTCACTTTTTTTTGAAGAAAACATAGTGTAAGAGGCTATAGAGAGACAAGAGGACTTCTGTTTTGTTAGGAGTGGTCAGGGAAGTCCTCTGAGGAGGTGGCATTTGAGCGGACATTGGGATGAAGTAAGGAAGTGAACTGTGAATCTACAAGGGGGGAGACCATCCCAGGCAGAGGGAACGACAACTAGAAAGACTCTGAAGGGGGAGGGTATCTACATATATATTAGAATAAAAACTCCATAGACCAAAACTGTCCAACTGAAACAATTTATATATACTTTGAGAAACATAAAATGAAATTGTAAGATAGTAGTATCATTAATTAACAAACATACAATTAGTTTGCCTCATCACCTGTATCATCTAGGTAATTCCTGCAAAATCCATGTTTTATTAACTGTTTCTCTCCCACTCTCCCCACTTTCCCACCCCCCTACACCCCGCACCTGCCCCCTTCTCATTTCAGTGAAGTTGGAGCATTTTGAAATTCCAATCAAGGTTCGCTTAAGCCCGGAGCCATGGACCCCTGAAACTGGTTTAGTCACTGATGCTTTCAAACTGAAAAGGAAGGAACTGAAGAACCATTACCTCAAAGATATCGAGCGAATGTATGGGGGCAAATAAAATGCTGCTCTCTTTACAATTGTGCAGGAGTGGCCTGGTGGTTTTTCAGTTCTAGAGTTTTAAGCTTTGTTGGAATGTAAAGTATATCATTCTAAAGACATGATGTAATAAAAAAACACCAAAAGTGATTAAAATAATTGTTGAGTCAACTTTAACTTAGTTTTGCATAGTTCTAGTGAAGCTGAAATTGAAAAATTGTTTCCCTTTAGCTGTGTTATTAATTTTAGAGTAAAAATTCTGTTTTTAAAAATTAGCCTAAGACACTTGTTTTTATGAGAAAACTATTTAATGTTGAACAAAATAAATTGGAGTTGGAGTAGAATGTAGTTTGAGGAAATTTGCAGCTTCCAATGTTTATTGTCTTCCTAGTTCAGGAGAAGCTTAAAAATATTAAGCATGACAAAAAAATATGTATTAACACTACTCAAAGCAGAAGTGCTACAGGCCTTTTAAATTCTCTTCCAACCATTTATCCTGAATGGGAAATTCAGTCATAATATAACATCGAAAATCAACACCTTGGAAACCATTTTAGGATTTATAATTGTTGCATAGGTTAGACATAGAATTATTGTATATTGTGAATAATTACAGTGCCTGAAGAATAAAACAACATAAACACACCAAAAATACCTAGTAATGTATTTAAAAGGAAATTGAACTGTTTTTTTTTGAAACTTGGAGGTCTAAAATCAGTAACTGTAATTATTTGAATGACTTAAGAGTACTTAAGTATATTTGAAAAAATGTTGAAAATCGCCTTTCTTTGTTTGTTCAAAATAGAAGACTGAGACCAAGAGTAAAATGATAGGTAGTTAATCAAATTTTAATAGGAAGCATTTTGTCTGTTAGAAAAGATGAAATTATAAGTGCTTACAGTTATGACTCTTGCATAGCACTGAACCTGAGAAAGGATTTAGACTCTGAATTTATCTTTGATAACAGGGACTTATTTTAAAATGTGTTCATATTAAATTACACTTGTAGTATAAGGTCTGTTTGCAGTTCTCACTGGATTCTTGAGCAATAGTTTGTACTTCAGAAAGCCTTTCATTTTGCTTTAATTTTATCAAAGCGGGTTATGACTTCCCCAATATCTTATTTGAATCTATGAATAATTAATTAACTTGCATAAGTTTGGGGATGTTAAAGGGAAGAACACACTGTTACCACTTTTTTCCTGTTTGTGAAAAGAGTTTAGAAACTGGAAAATGCTGGATTCGGGAGAAGGGAAGTTACTCAGTAAGGGACTGATATTTATACAGTAACTAGGCGTGTGGGCTTCTTTTTGAATTTTAATTAAAATCAGGGATTATATACCCCTGATAGATATTCACACTTGAACCATAGTTACTGTAAACAGCAAAAATTCCTAATACTGTTACTCTTTGCACTTTTTTCTTAATCATTTTATATATATACATACATACTTAGATGTGTATATATATATATATGTTGCTTATATTGCTTTGTACAGATGTGGGCCACCACTGCAACAAAATACATTCTTTTTGCTCTAAAATATTTATAAGGAAAATATTTAAATGTTATGTATATGGTGGTAAAAAGGAAAAAATCATCTGGTGTTATAAGCAAGAATGAAGGTTTTTGTAAAGATTTCTGTTCAGTGTTCTGCATTGTAAAATTTGAGGCAAGTTCTCCCTGTAGTTATGTATATGTGAGTATTCTCATTCTTCCCAACTTGCCTTTGAGGAGTGACGAACCATCATTATCGAGTAGACTACTACTCAGCTTCTACTGTTCCTGGCCCACTGTTGGTCCTTTAAAGATGGTTTCCTTAGACTTTTTCAATATGTGACTTTCCCCCCCCATTTGGAATGGTGATTTTAAATGTGCAAGTGCATGCATATTCAGATATTTGCACCCCCACCCACTTCCATCTCCCGAAAGCTAGAACACTGCCAACTAATCTGTTGTATAGGTCCTTTAGAGACACGTAATTAACACTTAAGGTCGGGTGCTGCTAATTCTTTGCGAAAATCCAAATATTGTTAAGGGACCAGGGAGATGCCACTACCCCCTGATTTTTCATTAGGAAATATACATATTTATGTAAACAGATCTTTCCATATTCATAGTGACTTTTCAAGTACTTGAGTCTAAAGATTTTGATCCTACATTTCTATACGTGTTTAAATCATTCACTGTTCCTACATGTCAGCCATTCAAATAAAGTGTACTTTAAAAATTTACTACAGTTATGTGCATTTCTAAGTCAAACACTTGTGAACTTTGCTGTAATTTCTTGAAAGTATCTTGCCTCCTTGATATTTGTATTGATTCTTTTTTTTTCTAGAGTGGAGATATAATTGTATGGTTTTTCAGAACTGAGATACGGGTGAATGATTTTAAAAGTCAGAAGTTAAGGAAAGTAATGTTTCTTTGGTCATAAAGGCTGATTAAAAATCCTCATCTATATTTTCTTGATAGCATAGGACAAATGTTTCTGAGGTAAGATGAAAACAGGTTAAAGATTGTGTGGTATTTGGGATTTGGAGAGAAATATTTTAATTTTCAAATGTAGTTACAAATTAGAATGAATTCATATTTGTACTTTCTGTTTAAATGCACGATTGCAGGATTGTTACTTAGATTTTTGTGTTTATTCTTGATGAAAAGCTCTGTTCTTGTTTTTAAGTTTGTACTCCAATCTCAAGAAATAAATCCACCCATGTTATCAAGCTAATTTGTGCTTAATTATGTGCTGAGAGAAAAATCTGCAAGTTTGAAGAATATTAGCTAAACTTTTAGATACATATGTTTGAAGTACTTATGGAATTGCATTAAGTAGTTAACCTGGCTTGTATAAGATCCACCCATACTCCACTTTGTAGTATTTGAACCCAAAGCTGTTACTTTGATGCACTTCATAGAGTAGAACCCCTTTAACACTGATATTGTGAGACAAAACATAGTCATATTGTGTGGATTATTAATAGGTGCTAATAAATGATAACTGTTGCATTTAGCCTAATTAAAATTTATGGAGAAATTAATTTACCTGAATTATATGAAGGTGTATATAAAATAGTGTTAGAGCTCTGGAACCAGACTTCCTCAATCTATTTCCTGGCTTTGCCATTCACTGGCTTTGTGACTTTGGGCCAGTGACTTAATATCCCTTAGCTTCGTTTCTCCATCTGGAAAAGTGAGGTTGACTAATAATAGGATCTAGCTCATAGGATGATTGTGAAGTAACATGAGTTAATCAATATAAAGGGTTTAAAACAAAGTATAGTTATGTTAACTATCACCATCATCATCATTATTGTATTTAGACAGTATTCATCAGCCAGGTTGTTTAATGTACTGGCTAGCACACTCAGAGCCTTAAGGGATTTATTGCCTGCCACTGAAGACTTTGTAGAAAGAGTTCTGGTTTTAGAGGTGAGGAGACCTGGGGTCATTCTATCACTAGCTTTATAACCATGAACAAATCTCATAACACCCTTTCACCCTCTTAACCTTAATTTCTTCTTCCCTTTTATGAAAAAAAAAAAAAAAAAGACTAGACTTAAAAGATGTTTTTGCAAAAAGGGAAAGATGAATGGCAGGAGACTTAAGGAATGTAATAGTCTCTAAGGTCCATCACAACTAGCTTTCATATTGTAATTTTGCTGTCCCTAGGGGTTTTTTGTTTGTTTGTTTTTTATTGATTTCAGAGAGATGAAGGGAGAGGAGGAGAGAGAATCATCATTGATTGGCTGCCTCCTGCAAGCCCCTGACTGGAGATCAAGCCCAAAACCTGGGCTTGTGCCCTGACCTGGAATGGAACCGTCACCACCACTGAGAGACACTGGCCAGGCAACAAAAACAATTTTACCATAGGCTCATTGATACAAACAAGAGTTAACTTCCTATGGCGTTTCATCAATATTATAATGAAACATTGAATGAAATGATGCTATTGGAGGTCCTGCTTTACTTCTGACCATGTACAAGAATGATTATAGCAGCACTACCCATAATGACCCCAAATTGGAAACAACTAAAATGGCCATCAACAGAATAGATGAAGTTGTGTTATATCCATATGAAGAAATTCTACATAGCAAATAAAAAATTAATTATAGCTGCATGCCCATGAACACAGACAATAGGGTGGTGAAGGCCTGGTGTGGGGTGGGAACTGGGTGGTGGGGGCAAGGAGGAAAAAAAAGGGACATTTATAGTACTCTCAACAAAAATATTTTTTAAAAAGCACATTATGATTCCATTTATACAAAGTTTAGGAACAAGCAAAATATCTATGGTAATAGAATACAGAAAAGACTTTTCTCTGAAGAGGGTGGTGGTATTGCCTGCAAAGAGGAATGTGGGAGTCTTCTGGCATGCTGAAAATGTCCTATATCTTGTTAATAGGAGCATCTTGGGTGGAGTCAGACATGTCTGGCCTGGACGGGTAAGACTGGTAGTACAGAAGAGAAACAAAGATGGGTATATTTGGGTGTGTTGGAGGAGAAGAGGATGAACCAATTAGGTTCATCATATTCTGTCCTGCATGTGCTAATCCTAACACTGGAACAAGTGTGTTTACATAAGTGTGCAGGAGAGCCTGAAAGACTCATCTGATGAGGAGCATCTTTGTGGGACTGACAAGGGGAAGCAGATGTAGGCAGCTATGAAATAAGAGGCCCAGACAACTTGGTGAACTTAAAGTACCTGAATGTAGGTCAGTATATATCAATGTTTACACCCACTTGTAGTCTCAGTTGGGCCTAGTTTTTGAGACGTGACATCTCAATTTACCAAAAAGTTCATCTCTTCCTCTCTTCCAACTATTACCACCCTAGAATCAGGCCCTGACCTCTTTTCACTAAGAACTATACCAACCTCCTAACTGGTTTCTTGACAAGTCTTTTGTTTCCATCCCTGCCCATATATTCCATCTTGTACATAAACCTGCCAAACTTACCTTCCTAAAATACCACCTCGTTGATGCTATTCATATTCTAATCAAAATGTCAGCTTGGTATTCAAGTTTCAGAATCAAAAGGTCTCTCTTTACCTACCTTACCTCATCTCTCTAGCAGGAACCTTCCATTCTGTTTCACTTCTGTATTCTCCAGTATGCCAAGCTCATTCTCCCAAGTGGTTCTTTACCCTAGCTGCACTCAGGAATCACATGGGAAGGTTAACATCAACAACAAAAAACAAAACAAAAAACAGTATCCATGCCTCATTCTCTCTCACTGACCAACAGTGGCCTTACTGCTAGATCTGTAAGTTCCTTTATAAGCACCTCTCTGTAGGATTAAATCACAAAATAATTCACAAAAGGGAGGGCAGTCTTCACAGGTTACCAAAGAAGGCTCCTAGTTAACTGTTGGTTCCCTTAAACTACTGTTTGCATGGGATCAATTTTTTCTTTACTTTGGCAGATTAGCTATTTCTTTCGATATTTGAAAACCTCAGAGATTCTGAAAGAATGAGTATAGGTGAAGGATATTTCTTGGAAGACACTCCTAAGATTATCAAGAATCAAAAATCAGCTCTAATGGTGGGCCACTTGGAAGTGCTAAATATCAACTTTACCTAATTTGTACTTTTTCCATGGGGTTGTAAGAAATCAATGAAACAATGGAAAAGGGAAAAGAAGACAATGTATTGATATACTCAGGTGTCTTTCCAGAGTGACTTTGCAGTAGAAATCAGAAAATTCTTTTGAAGTCAAATATTTATTCTTGTGCCTAGCTCTTTGCTAACCCATGAGTTATAAGCAGCTCAGAATCAGATATACATGCATATATATTACAGACATGGCCACATATTTTCTTCTTTATGGCCATCAGCTCTACCTTAGCTATATCTTCAATATTACTTAGAATAGGGCACTCCAATGGTCGCATTCAATATGGGATGGTGAATAGCACACATTCACACAGGAAAGTAGCACTGTGGCTCCCCAAGTGTGGGTGAAGGACAGGGCTAAAGAGGGAACTCAGGACGCCTTCCTGCTCAGACAGTGAGTGAAGTATGAACTATCTCAGGGAGCAATGCAGAGATGAGTTAAAAATCTGTCAGATATGTTCCCCAGACTTCTTGAAGTCACATCTTTTTAAAATCCAAATCTGCATTTCATTAGCCATCAGTATGCATGATGGTGAGAGAATTAACCTTTCTAAGCTAATCCAAGTGAAGGAAAGGATACAGAGTCTTCTGCTTCATTTCATCAGGAGTCTTTGTTTTCTCTGCAAGAGGCCCCTTGGGCTCTCTTTGCTTGTTAATTCTTCCCTTTTCTTACATTATAAACAATAGCTCTCTCGACCCCATCTCCTGGTGTTGTGGCGTATCTTGGTGGGCCTTTGGTTTTGCTCAGAGAAGGAAAACTCCAAACTGACCTGCAGCTGTGAGGATTCAGTGTCCTGTCTCCAGGAGGAAGGTTGTGTGACTTCATTCTCTTACAACATGGGGACTTTTTTTTAAGTTGTTAAAGATGGGTTGGGCACTGGACTTTTCTTCGATAGTAAAGCCATTTCTATTTTAAGGCCCTCTTCAGTTCCAATAAGGTTCCTTTTGTCTTACAACATGATAACAAATACTTTTAAACCCTTTCTTGTTTAGTATTGCTAGGTGCTATAGGGAAGAAAAAAGAAGGCCTTGCGCTGTCAGCACGCAGTATAGTAAGTCCTCACTTAATGTCATTGATAGGTTCTGTAACTTTAAGTGAAAGGACATATAAGGAAACCAATGACATTATTTGAGTACCAGCTGTATCAGACTAAAGCGGTGAACTAGAAGCTGAACTGTGAGCTGAAGACTCTTAAGTATGTAGGAATTTGGCAAAGACAGAGATCCTTTTATACTTCAGTTTTCTGGGCAGGCTTCCTTGGAGCCTTGAGTCTGAGCCCAATGCTGAAGAGGCAAGAGGGACTATTACCAACTTCTAGCTAGTAACAGAGTGTGTGTGCATCTGCAGCAGTATTCCTTCTGTGACCATCAGCCTGCAAGGACAAAGTGGGGTGATAGTAACAGCAATATCATGGGCCATAGCTTGAAATTCTAGATCAGAGATCTTCATAGATTGGAGGTGTGCCTGAGATATTGATGCCCTCTACCCTTGGGGTGGCCAGAGCTTTCTGTCAGGTGGCTTTCTTATTCATTTATTCCAGGGGATCATATATGTTATCTATGTTTGTTACGTGGTGAAAACTATCGGAAAGTGCTATTCTAGATATAGCCCTCTTCTTGGAAAGCATTGGTAACACATGGTCACAATGCTTTTGTTTTCATACCTGTAGTCCCAGATAGACTGTTAGCTTTCTGAAGGTAGACAGACTGTGTGTATCTTGTTCTGTGCTAAATTTCCAGTGCCAGGCACTGTGCCTGGCACATAATAAGTTCACAAAAAATATTTCATGCAGGTCACAACCTCAATGAGATATCACCCCTCATGTGTAGAATGGCTATTATAAAAAAGACAAGAAATAACAAGTGTTGGTGAAGATGTGGAGATAAAGGAACCCTTGTGCAATATTGGTGCGAATATAAATTGGTGCAACCACAATAAAAAACAGTATGGATGTGCTTCAAAAAATTCAAAATAAAACTACCATATGACCCAGTAAATTCTTTTTAAAAAAAATATTTTTAATTGATTTCAGAGTGAGGAAAGGAGAGGGTGAGAGAGAGATACAAACATCAATGATGAGAGAGTCATTGATTGGCTGCCTCCTGCACGCCCCC